CTGGGGCTGCCGCGGGCTTGCGCGTGTGGTGCTCGGTGTGGCTGCCGCGGGTCGCATCCTGGCTCCGGTAGAGAAGAACGAATGGTACTGAAGTGGTGGTGCCAGCCCTGTCTCTGTCCCCCCTCCTCCCCCGGCACACACAGAGGACGGCCCCAGGTAGAGTCTTCACCAGCTTCCGCCTCCCACTGGGACAGCTCCAGCAGGCCTTCACCCCTGCCCTGCACAGGACGCGGTGCAGGCCCCATCCGACAGAGCACCTGACGGCTCAGCTCGCACCTCCTCCCAGGGCCTCCTCGCACAGGCCCACACGAGCCGCCTTCCCGAGGAAGCAGCACCTGAGGTCCCATTTGCCCTCCCTTGGAGGAAGGACAGGGCCTCTGTTGTCCTGCTCATCCTGTGACAGTTCCCTGATGCCGGTGCTGCGTCGCTATGGAAACGGGACACCCACTGCCTCTGCATGGTTGCGAGGCTGAGCATTGGGAACGTCTTCCCAGCGAGGCGGCAGCGGCTGCCCGCTGCCCCAGGGAGCATTCTGCAGATAAGAGGCTCTGTCACCCCCCACGAGGACCTTGCGGGTGGGGTGGCCACGGCTGACAGCTGCTCTGCCTCCAGGTTCCATGGTCCCCTTCTCGATGCGTATCCTGCACGCGGAGCTGCCGCAGTACCTGGGGAACCCGCAGGCGTCGCTGGACAGACTGCACCGCGTGAAGGCCGTCTGCAGCAAGGTCAGCCCTTGGCCGCTCCCCCGACGGGACTGCCCCGAGGCCTTCCCTCACGTGCTCCTCATTCTGTCCCTGGCCCACCCTGTGTCCCCATCTCCACGTCCCCCGTGGGCAGGGTGCCCCGACCCATGTGCCCATAGTGTTTGCGGCCTTCGCTGAAATTTTTCGGGGGGTGGTTTGGGCCTCAACCTGAGTCCTGAAGTCCCCCTTGTGCTTCTGGAGGAAGAGAAGCAGAGGCCTTCGTCATGTGGGAGCCCCACGCTGGGTGCGTGCCCAGGCCCACACGCTCGCACACTCACACGCACCTCCTGAGCCACACCCAGGCACTGGCGCGTGCCGAGAGGGCGTGCTCCGGGCCTTCCAGCAGCAAAGCAGGGTATGCATAAGTCAGCTACTGCCCGCCGAGGGCAGACCTCGTGGGGCCCTTGGCTGTGAGGCGATGGCTGTGGAAGGCACCAAACTGCTGTGTGAAGAGCTGATAAAATTCTTTTTTTTATTTTTCCTTTGAGAGAGAGACAGGAGAGACACAGAGAGAAAAACCAGCATCCCAACAGGGCATGGTCCTCCTCCCAGCCCACGTCACGGGAACGGTGCCCCCAGCATGCCTAGGGCGGCCTTGGGATGGGGCGGGAACCCAGGACCTTTCCCACATGGCTCCAGATGTGTCCCCAATGCACCACCACCTGCCGCCCCCCCCTTTCTGTATTAAGTGATGTTAGGAAGACGCGGGGTTCAACACCCACGCCCTTGACAGACTGTAGACAGCCCACCCTCTGAGGGAAGATCCCTGCCCTCCTGCCGGCCTCGCAGGAGCCCTGGGTGAGTCAAGTGGAATCATCGATGCCGAAGGGTGCTGGAGACGAACAGCAAGCGGCTATTCGGAGTGGCGGGGTAGTGTGATTTTCGGGAAAATAAGGTTATACTCTTAGACTTCTCCTTTCAGTTCCCAGTTCTTGTTCTTGTTTTTGTTTTAGAGAGGTTTTTGCTATAAGGCAAGTGCCCTTGCCAGAGAGAGACAGAAGCGAGAAATCACCCCCGGGGGTTTGGCCACACCACAGTCCCTTCTCCTCCTGTGTCCTCTCAGGATTAGGGGCACACATGCACACACGCCCGGCATGAGTTTCAAGGCACCAGGTCCAGGACTTGAACCGCAGTTAACTATGCGGGAGTCCAGCGACCTAGCCATTTCACCATCTGCTGGTCCCTGTGGCTGTTTCTGTTGTTTGTAAGGTTTCTGCCGTAGAACGTGTGCGCTTGCCCAGAGACGGGGGCAGTTCCCAGCTGCGCTCTGGGCGGTTCCTTGGTTCCCCGGGCACGCGGGTGCACACCGATCCTAGTGAGGGCGTGGCGCTCTCATCTGCTGCGGAGGCGCTGCCCCAAGCTCGGACAGGCGTTTCCAGGTACCTCGTTTCCCTCGAGCTCTGAACCACTTCCTTTGTTGTGGCAGTTCAGGTTTGCCAGAGGTCACGTGTGCTCACAGGAGAGAGAGGAGGAAAGAAAAGCGTCCCCGGGGACTTGGCCGTGCCGCGGTCTCTTCTCCACCTCCTCCTCGGGGTTCTGGGCATGCATGTTCTCAAGCCATCGGGTCCCAGACTTGAACTGCACAGCCCGTCAGGCGGAATCCAGCCACCTTAACGGCCTTGCCGCCGCCGCCAGCCGAGCCCCACTTCCGCTTTGAGTGCCACAGTTTGAAAGTGTTGACCTTACGCTTTGATCAGTTGATAGGAAACTCGCATTCCCGACTTTGTTTGACGTTGTAGGACTCTTCTATATGCACAATGGTTTTGTCACTCGCTGCCATTCTGCTGCTGTTTTCCATAGGATCACAGGGTGGGGCAGAAGGCGTCAGTCCACAGGTCAGGCCCCCTCCTGAGGTGCAGCCCGCCTGCCCAGCAGACCCTCTGTCAGCACCTGGTGTGGCCCAAGCGGCAGAGGGCTCCCCGCCATTCACGGAGCGGCCGTGAGGAGGGACCAGAGTGGCTCTGACACCACTGCCCCGGCCGCTGGGACCCCTGGTCCACAGGCGCTTAGTCCTGGTACCAGGCGGCCACCGCTCCTATGCGTGTCCACACGCTTACACGGCCTGGGCAGCCACCGCTCGTGTGCGTGTCCACACGCTTACACGGCCCGGGTGGCGGTGTAGCCCCTGCAAACTGAAGCATGGTGCTGGAAGCCACGTGGAGACGGCGGGCATGGATGCCCTGGTTGGCCTGAAAACATGCAGCGCCCGTTCGTGTGCGAGATCCTGACCGGGGCGGGGTCCACAGTGCAGGCAGGCCCTGTCCCGTCCACTTGAACCCAGCAGCCTGGCCCTGGGCCCGCTCGTGGTCTGCTCTGCGCCGTCACTGCAGTGTCCCCTCCACCCTGGCCTCGGTCCTGCCCTGCAGGTGAGGAGTCTACAGTGTGGGTGGAGGCGGACACGTCCTTGGGGACGCTGTGGGTGTCTCAGATGGCCTTCCCCCAGCAGGTGCGGGTGGGCTTGCACTGTGCTCTGTAGGCTGGGGTCTTCCTGACAGTTGAGTGGCTTCCCGGAAACGGTGGTGACAGCAGAGCAACGGGGGGTGGGGACAGAAGGATCTGTGCTGTCACATCGCAGAGGCGCCTGTCACAGGCTGACCGGCTTTGCAGGGGTGGGGTGAGCACAGGGACAGTGCAGCCACACCCTGGGACCAAGCGTGTAACTGTACCTCTGCGGGCTCAGTTGGCCTCAGGTTCCACCCGGTTGTCAGGAGGCGGCTGTCCCCGCGGCAACGCTGGTCCTTTCAGCTAGGCGCACTCCGCGGCGCACTCCTGTGAGCCAGGACTCCCATCCTCACGGGGGACACAGCTGCTTGTCCTCATCCTGGGCTTAAGGAGAGACGGCACACTGGTCTCTGCCCTCCAGCATCTTCACATGAACTCCCAAGTGGACCGGACCCTCCCCAGGGAAGGAGGGAACTGTGTGGCGCTCTCGGTGGGCCTCAGCGAGAGAAGGGCTGAGGGCGTGAGTGGCCAGCAGGCACACCTGTCCTCACCAGCACCCAACTCCATCCTGACATCTTCCTCACCCTGCAGGCCGGGGCCACACGACAGCCACGCTCTCTCCTTCCCTTCCTGCTGGCTCCGTGGGCTCTGCCGCTGTCTGTGCCACCCCGCCCGGGCCTGCCTGGCCTGCCGGACTCGTTCATCCATTCAGGTCACACGTGTTCGTGTTCTCTGAGTCCCTGCTGCGTGTGCCACGCCTCCGGAGCAGGTGGACAGAAGGTGCTCGCTGGCCGCGACCCCCCATACTGCTGGGTGTTCCCAACTCGGCCCGTCCTGGTTTGCCACTGCCACCCCCAGTGTGTCACATCGCCCAGTCGGGAAGCGGCCACCGTGTTAGGGTTCATCCACCGGGAAGTGGGACGTGCAGAGTGCCGCTGCTGGGTGGAGCTGGTGGGGGCGGGTTGGCTGTGGCGCTCCCACCTCCCCCTGTGCACAGGCGAGTGTTAGAGTGGAGACTCGGGCCTGTCTACCACTGGCGCTCTCCTCCTAGGGTCGTCGCAGCTCAGGGGAAGCCCTCGGAGCATTTGCTATAGGGCGCGTGCACTCACCAGAAAGACAGAGACAGACAGAAAGCGAGAAATCACCCCCCAGGGCGATGGCCACGCCGCAGTCCCTTCTCCGTTCTCTTCTCGGGATCGTGGGCACGCATGCACATGCGCCCAACATGAGCTTAAGCAACCAGGTCTGGGACTCGAACCGCGGTCAGCTCTGTGGGAGTTCAGTGACATAGCTATTACACTAACTGTTGGTCCCCCTCAGAGCATTTTAAACCCATCTATGGCACAAGGAGACCTTTCTCTGCCTGGTTACTCTTCCATGTCGTTCTGAGCCCCCGCCAGCCAGGCCCCAAGCTGGAGCCAGGTGCATACATGCCCAAGATCCCAAGAGGAGAATGGAGAAGAGATTGCAGCATGGCCATCCCCCCTGGAGGATGATTTCTCACTTTCTGTCTCTCTCTCTGTCTTTCTGGTGAGCGCATGCACCCAAAAAAAAAAAATTTAAAAAAAAAAAAAAAAAAGGCTTCTCTTTTTTCCCTGAAATCACTGGTTCTCAGGAGCCATGGAGGAATCTTATTCTGAAGGCCTGCCCCTTGCCTCTCCACTCGAGTGTGGGCTGGAGGCTGGATTATCAGTAGAAAATCTTCATTTCTCTTTTTTCCCTGCAATCACTAGTACTCTGGAGCCATGGAGGAGTCTTCTTCAGCCATCTACGTCTTCACGCCCGTGAAGTACTGAAGGCCTTCTCTGGCCACATTAAAGTCCACTAATTGGACCAGCAGCTGGTGCAGTGGCCGAGGCGCCGGGACCCCACGCAGCCGGCTGCCTTCGATACCCAGACCCGGGACGGCCCCCGTGATGTTTCTGCCCCGGCCAGGGCGGCCCTGCCTCTGAGCTGAGGCACTTCCTGTGCTCTGTCAGGGTCTCCCAGGAGGCCCGGGTCGGGGCCGCTGCGACTACTCTGGGAAAGCCGCTTGGGACTGCTGGTCGGCGTCGCGGTGGCCTGGCCTGGCCTTTCTCCTGGGGTAGAATCGCTGCCGCACCGCACTGGCAGGCTGAACCCAGCTTCTAGGCACGAGCTGCTTTTCGCGTAATTCTGGTTTGGGGCTGAGACCCTGGCACTGCCCTTAGGGGCCTGTCGGTCACGGGTCGGTGAGCCGTCTCCACGCACAGCCAGGCCCCTGTCTAGTGGGACAGCAGTAAGAGCTGCCTGCCATGAGCCATTTTTGGCCTGGCCACGTGAGGAAGCCCTCCCGACTGCCGGGGCCTGGCCACTGATGCACTGGAAGGTGCGCACTGAGTTAACGGGGCAGTGGCCAGCCAGTGGCGTGGTGGTTACGGTGTTGAATCCCACAGGGCTGACGACAGGGTTCAAGTCCCAGCCCAACTGCTTGAAAAATATGCCACGCACGTTTGTGTGTGTGCCCAAAAGCCCAAGAGGAGAATGGAAGAGAAGGGACTGTGACGTGGCCACCCCCCAGGGAGTGATTTTCTGCCTTCCCTGCTTCCATCTGTGCCCCGTGACTGCTTTGCACACTCCCAGCAGGCCCGCACAGCTGGGACCTGGCACCTCCACGCCAGCGTGCTCGGCGGGGTGGAGGCATTCGTGAGTGCTCCGTGACAGACTGGCCTTCGTCAGCCTCCGTCGTGGAACAGCTCGTGGCCGCGTGGGAGCACCTCGCTCACGGCCGTGTTCTGTCTGCCCCACGCAGATCCTGGCCAGCCTAGAGCGCGGCCTGGCCGAGGACGGCACCGCGAGCAGCGGCTCCCAGGAGAGCAGGCAAGGTGAGACCCCGCAGTGTGTCCGCACGCGCTCACTCCTCTCCCCTACGCCGGGACTGGGCGGGAGCTGTTGATGGGTGGTGAGCCACACAGGGAGGGAGGGACTCCCACTTCAGGGCGTGCCCGCAGGGCTGGGTCAGGGAGAGCTTGGTCCAGCCCAGCAAGGTGGAGCGGAGGGGGGAGGACAGGCCTAGTGCAGGGCCTCACAGGCCAGGCCAGGCCAGGGGCCATGCCCCAGAGCTCTGGAAGGCAGCTGGGAGCACAGGGTGGGCCGCAGGGAGCAGCTGTGCTTTCCGAGGTTGTCCAGGCTACTGTTGCATGTTGGAGTCTGGGGTGGGCCGTTCCTGTGATCCTCCCCGCCCCCCCAAGCTGCGCACCTGCCCTCCTTCCCCCTGCTCAGGGCGGTGTCTCTCCGGGGGACTTGGGGTTAGCTCTGCAGCCTGGCCCAGGGCTGCTCTCCAGGGCTGCTGGCGTGCGGGCGCCCTCTGCCACTGGCTCAGGGGCCTTGTTTCTCAGGTAGGATAGGAGAAAGCCCTGGTGGGTACCAGGCAGAGGGTTTGGCCAGCCTCCAGGGGCCCCGGAGCATTCAGTGAGGGGTGGGGTGTCTAGGTGGCAGCCACCCTCTGACCCCGCCCCAAGGCAGCTCCAGGGTGCCTTTCCTCCCAAGGAGTCTGCAGAGCTCTTTGGAGAGCGGCTGGAACCTCAGGTTGGAGAGCCGTGGACCCCAGGGGTACAGAAACAGCTGAAAAATGGCAGAACAGGCAGGAACAGGACAGGCTTTTGGTGACCGTGGTCACTCGTGTGGCCGCAGAGGCTGGAGCAGGAACAGCGGAAAGGGGAAGGCCAGGCTGTGCCCACGTGGGCCGAAGCCGCAGGGCAAGCTGTGTCCTCCGCCTTGGGTTGGAAGGTCTTTTATCTCTGCCTGGGCTGAGACAGGACGGCTGCTGTTCCTGGGTAAAATTTAAGGAGCTGGGATCTTGAGGTTGGTCATGTGCCAAGGCCACAGGCAGCTGAGGCAGAGTAGAGGATCCCTGTAGGACACCAGGTGCCGTGCCCTGGGGGGTGGCCGCTCTGTCAGCCTGCAGTCCAGAAGCCGGGAGGCCTTGAGGTGTGCTGCCACCCATCAGCTCCCGTGGAGGCCTTGCAGGGGTGCCGCCCCCTGGGGTCAGTTCTCAGGGAGGCCTTGCGGACACTGCCCCCCCATCAGCTCCCAAAGGCTCTGCTGCCACCCTGGGCCTCTCTCCCCGAGGTCTCGCTGTGGACGTGTGACCCCACTGGCATAGCTTGGTTCTGTTCTGTGGGTGTGGAGCTACTGCCCTCCACACGGTCCAGTCCGCGCATTGTCCCCAAAGCCAGCGCCGGCACCAGGGCAAGGGCAGGCCCAGCGCGGGGCAGGAAGAGCCCCCAGAGCCCCTCCTTTGTCCGGCCCGCTCACGACCTCCCTTACTCCGCAGCCTCCCTGCAGCTGTGGCGGTCCCGCCTGGGCCGCGTGCTCTAATCCATGGCCAACTGCCTGCTCCTGATGAAGGTAGGGCTGCTGCTCGGGGGGACCCTAATTTTTATCCTTTTCAAAATGTAGGTCATTTTGAGGCAGAATTTGCTATTCCAATGTCTTTACAACATTGGACTAAATGTACTATTTAAAAACAATTTTTCCCAGGGGCCAGGCAGTAACTTGGTAATAAAATAGACACTCTGTGTTTACTGACCCACATGGAAAGATCCCGGATTTGCTTCAGAGCCCCATGGAGTACTTCCAGCACGCGTGCACGCATGACCTCTGTGCCCGCGCACGCCCTGGGCCTGTCTGTGCCCGCGCACGCCCTGGGCCTGTCTGTACCCGTGCTGGGGCTCAGTTGGCGGTAGCTTCTGTGGAGAGGAATCTCAGCAGAGGCGAGGTGAGGGACCCTGGAAGGGGTCTTTGTCCTCGTCTGGGAGAGGTCTTCTCTGCCCGCCTCCACTCTGGTTCAGGGTTGACGCTGACCTCTGACAAGGCCTCCCTGCGGACGTGGATGCGCGGCCTTGCATGGAGCCTGCGGCCCGAGGAGCAGCCTCCAAGGCAGCACGGAGCTCAGGCTGGCCCCCTGCTCTGACCCCCAGATCACCCCACCCCGCGACATTCCTGGCTTCCCTGTGTTTGACTGCTCCCCCTGGCATGGGGCGGCCTGCCAAGAGCCTTAGTGCAGAGGGGCACCAGCTGCCCCCACACAGCCCAAGATCACCCAGGGGCTGAGTCCTTTGAGCAGAAAAGCAGCCTCCCGCTGTGGGGGGCGGGGGGGGGGCCGCTCCTTTGTCTGCTT